AAATATTTGTTTCCATAAAGTTCAAAAAAATTATTTAGCAAATAAATGAAAAAATAAATATTTATTACACAAAATATTGATTTTTTTAAAGATTTATTAAATAAATTTTTATCAAATATTTATTAAATAAACTTTGATAATATATATATAATTTATATATATATATAACTTCATAAATATTATCAAATAATATTTATAATATTTAAATTATATGAGCTTAAGTTGTTTTTAAAAAATTTTAAGATGTCCCGTAATTATCTTTCTTTTTTTTGATACGAAATATATATATGATATTTGTTGTTTGTGAATTTATTGCATTATATATGAACCGTTCTGCTCTATCATTTTCTTCCATCTCTCAAGAAATCTTATTCCTTTTTTCCAAAATTATTGGGATTTATTTGCAAAATATTCCTCGAGATGCATTTTTATTTCGCTTATAGATTGAAATCGTTTATCATGGAATTTTTTAATGACAGGAACAAGTAATAGTTAGGTAGAGCAAGATCTGAGCAGTATAGAAAATGCGGTAAAATGTCCCAATCAAATGATAACAGCGGTTTTCTCTTACAGATGCAACATGCGGTTTTACATTGTCCTGATGACCTTGTCGGTTCATCAATTTCGGCCGTTTTTCTGCTATGTGTTTTTCAATTTATCAAATTGATTGCATTGCATTTTCAAAATTAATAGTTTCACCTTAAGAAGCTCCTTAAGGAGCTCATAGTAGAATACACTTTTCCAATCCTACAAAATAGACAAAAGAATTTTCCTTCGATTGAAATCCAGGCTTTGTGACAGTTGAAGATCTATTATCTTCAGATCAAATGCGTTTTCAATGTACATTTTGATACAAAATCCAAGTTTCATCTCCAATGACAAACCTCTTTAAAAAAGAATCTCTTTCATGTTAATGGAGAAGAAAATCGCACATAAAGATGCAATTTATAAGGTCGATCTCTGTCAATAGCTATGGAATCCAAACTTTACATCGATTGACATATCTCATCTTGATTAGATGATTATATATTATTGTCTTAGGAATGTTAGTGGTATTCTCGCGTACACTATATCGCAGATTTTCAGCGAACATGGCCTTGGTAAGGTCCATATCTGTTACTGCTGGGTAGCCGTTGCGGTTTTCTTTCAAATCAAAATTGCCAGCTTTAAACCTCTTAAACCAATTGCGGATAGTCGTAGTAATTGTAGCATTACTGCCGCAGTATAAATCTCTACAGTCTGCACTATCACCTTTTTTAAAACAATGAAGCATAATGCAAATGCTTCCTTTGGCTATTCATATTGAAGAGAAAAGGTTTTAAAAGAGACTGTGTCACCAACGAAATGTACTTTAAAAGAGCTCTGGGACGATTGAAACCAATACTATAAATGGCTAATAGGTAAGCCTGCATATTCATATAAAAATAGTCAGTTAAAGAGTTATTCCTAATCAGTGAAAGAAACTTATGGGACACTCTAATATAATAAAAAGTTTGTAGATATCAATAATTAATGTAATTATGTTTTAATTTGTGTAATTTTCAATATATATGTATCGAAATATATAGATTCAAATAATTAAAAATATTATCTATAATTAAAAATTATAGATAAATGGAAATATTAATATACTAATTATATATGTGTCTTTGATATTCATCTCTAATTAATATATGTTTTATATATATATATATCTATATAATAAATTGAATAAATCGAAGAAATATATTTTCTCAAATAAAAAAAAATTGTTTTTTTACAAATAAATTTTAATATCATAGTATTTCACTGGATATAATAGATATAATAATCAATAAAGATAATAAAGAATAAGTTTTTACAATTGCAAATTCTTATACATAATTTTATGATTAAAAGATATTTTAGATATTTCTATCAAATTATTTTGAAAAATATTAAATATTAAATTATTATATATGTAGATATTTTTTAACAACAATATATATAATATAATACAATACTATTACTCTATGTGTATAGGATCTTTTATATCTATATAATATATATATATATATAATAATTGTTCTATTA